AAGGGGAAGTCATGCTTGACCAACCTGGTAACCTTCTACACTGAAATGACTGACTTGGAGAGCAGCGGATATTGTCTGCCATGACTTAAGTGAGGCTTTAGACAAGCTGTTGACATATGGGCTAGATGAGCAGACAGCATGGTGGACTGAAATCTGGCTGAATGACTGGGCCCAGAGCGTGGTGATCAGTGGCACAAAGTCTAGTTGGAGGCCAGTAACTAGCGGTGTACACTAGGTGTCAATAGGGGGCCCAGTCCTGTTTAACAGCTTCATTCATGACCTGGATGATGGGGCAAAGTTTGCCCTCAGCAAGTTTGCTGATGACACAAAACTGGGAGGAGTGGCTGATAAGCCAGTCATGCTGCCACGCAGAGGGACCTAGACAGGCTGGAGAAATGTCCTGAAAGGAACCTCATACAGTTTAACATGAAGTGCAAAGTTCTGCATCTGGGGTGGAATGACCCCAGGCATGAATATATGAAGGGGGCCACCCAGCTGGAAAGCAGCTTTGCAGAAAAGGACCTTAGGGCCCCAGTGGACAGCAAGCTGACAATGAGGCAGCAATCAGCCCTCGTGGCAAAGAGGGCAAATGGTAGCCTGGGCTGCGTTTGGAGAAGTGAGGCCAGCAGGTCAAAGGACATGATCCTTCTCCTCTACTCAGCACTGCTAAGGCCACACCTGGAGCGTGAGCTCCCCAGTACAACAGAGATATGGACATGCTGGAGAGAATCCAGTGAAGGGCCACGAAGATAATTGAGGAACTGGATCATCTGACATACGAGGAAAGGTTTACAGCTGGGACTGTTCAGCCTAAAGAAGAGAAGGCTCAAGAGGGATCTTATCAATATATATTTGAATATCTGAAGGGAAGGTGCAAAGAGAAGGGAGCCAGGCCCTTCTTAGTGGTGCCCGGTGACAGGACCAGAGGCGGTGGGCACAAACTGAAACACAGGAGGTTCCCTCTGAACATCAGGAAACACTTGTGCACGGTGAGTGTGACCAAGCACTGCCAGAGGTTTCCCAGAGAGCTTGTAGAGTCTCCATCCTTGAAGATACTCAAAAGCCCTTTGGTCATGGTCCTGGGCAACCACCTGTAGGTGGCTGTGCTTGAGCAGGGGAGGTGGATGAGATGACTTCCAGATGTCCCTTCCAACCTCAACCATTCGGTAACCTCACAGGCTATTGCTTGGCCTAAAAAATTTCAATGTGTGGTTTAAAATGAGCTACCAGATTAGGAATGATACCTTCCTGTTGTCCAGCAGTGGCAGAAGCTGGAGGCAACAGCATGTTCAGCTGAAACAGCCAGGCCCAGAAGAGGACCCTTTCCAATTCTGAGCACACCAGCTTCATCTCAAAGCCACCCAGTCCAACAAGCCAAAGAACAGCTCAGTGAAATCCACTACCTCATCTGCTGAAGGGGTATATAGCATGGATCTTCAAAAAAAGTTTTTAAGGGGCTACATAGGGAACAAGTTAGTAATATCTATCCAAAACCAGAACTTGGGAGGCTAAGATACGTATGGTTTCTCAGTTATTTTTAGAAAAAAATAGTAAAACAATTTCTCCTAAGTTTCTCCTGCTCTTAACTCCTCTTATCTGCTACCTCAGCCCATGAAGCAGGAGAATAACACTCCTTCATGGTTCTACTCCCATACAAGACAGCATGCTCTGGGGGAATAGCAGAAGTGTGGTGCTGGTTGCACTGTAGGCACATGTAAGGCAAACGTAAGAGGGTCCTCAGTAAGAAGCAGACACCCTTGCCTGCCTCTTCTTTACTTCCGATTCCTGAGCCCTTCCCAGCTGAGATGCAATGGGTGGTAGGACGCTCTCACATGCTGTTTCTCAACTTTCCCCACTCCTGCCATAACAGACCTCATTCTGAGTGTCTCTAGAAATGAAATGGAAGAAACTGCGAAGGCAGAGGCCTGGTAAAAACCACCTGGTCAGACTGCCTTGTGTAACAACTGGCTCTATGGCACCTGGACTGGCACGAAGCCTCCAGACTCCTGAGCACAGAACTCAGGGAACATCTAACCCCTTCTTTAATCTCCTACTATGCCGGCATCTGGTTCCAGCTGCTGAAAGTAAAGCACAAGCCCAGCAAACTACTGTAGGATCACCTATGCCCGAGTATCCCTCCCAGTTCCTCTTCTCCCTCCTCTTACCATGCTCACTCCAAGACAACTGGAGTGAGACCATCTAGATTAAGAACTGGTAGAACAGAAAGGTCCCTTTCATGAAACTTCTTCCTTCCTTCCCTCCCCCCTACTGTACTGCATCTCACTCCATCGTCTTAGACTAGATATAGTAAACAGAATAAGCACTGTGGAAATAAAGCACCCCTTACTTTACCCTGCTCTTCTCTGACTGTGATTTATCTTAATAGGGTTGCTAGGATTTCCTTACATAATCTTTAAGGAGCTTTTTGAAAAGACAAAAGCACAGATGCAAAGGAATCCAGCAGGTCTTTTTTTATTTTCTTTTTCCCCCCAACACCTATGAGCTGGTTTGGCTTGCAAATTCCTAACTGAAGAGGCTCTGCAATGTAGCTGCAGGGAAAGGGAAATCATCCTCTGTAATACTATGAACAAATTACCTTTGCCCTGGGGCTGATTTACTTTTTTGTAACTCTGGATAGAGCCAGAAATATGCACTAGTCTCCTACAAGCTTTCTCTGCACTTGACAACACTATTATTACATTTAGCCATTTCACATGATAACATTTTACTGAGGATTCTCTTCTGATACTCACAGGCAATCACCTTTTGCCACATCATCAATTTTAGTTACACTTCCAATTTAAAAGAAGTCTAGAAACTACAACACCCTTCTCCTAAGGCAGTCAATTCACCAAATAGTACAGATACATAAACTATACAGTGTGTGTGTGCGCGTGTATATGCACACGTATGATCTGTTACAATTTTTTAAATGGTAAATTCTGTGGTTTTTCAATACATACTACAGAAGGTTTTAAACCAGAGGCACTCACAGTCTAAACAGACAGACAAAACTCCAGAGCTTAAACAAAGACTCTATCTTATCCTGTGTTTTACAAAACATGTAACCTTTTACTTACATAGACTAGTGCCCTGGCCTCACAAATAAAGTTAGTTAAGTATTCGGAAGGGATTGGAGAAAGCGTGATAACCTTCTGCAAAAGGATTGAGAAGGAATTCCAAACATGAAGATAAAAAGAAAATTAAAAAATGAGACAAAGTAGAAAACCAGAATTTATTATGTGTTTCAGCGAACTTTCTCTGATTTCCTGTAATGTAACTTAACTGCAATAATGTTTATTTGCTAAAATAGATAGTCCAAGTCTCTAATTTATGAACTGCCACAGCTAGATTTTGCCAACTACAGGGCCTAAAATAAAATATGTATTAATTAACATGCTTAAATTACAGGTGAACCCACTGAAACTATTGCATACATATTACGTATGTAGATCTCAAACACAGTCATTTATTTTAAATTTACCATTTGGTTGTCACTGAGTCAAACTGACCTAAGTGCCACCTAGGTACTTGCCTCTGGCAGCATGCACACATACATCTTCTCAAGCACTGACAGGGCTGTTGGCTGAGGCTTCAGAAACCCAAAACCTGGATCCTCAAAACATGTATTTCCATATTTATCTCATCAAGCAGTTCAATCTCGCTGTCAGACTCTGAGGACGGTCTCTTTTAAGAGATATGTTGCTGAAATACTCTTGCCAGGATATGACAGACCAAGGCAAACCACTAATGCCCATGGCAAGGTTAGCCTGACAATGTGGTAGTGTCTTTTAAAATACATTTGGCACTAATGCACCAAAAATTTCCCATCATCCAACTGCATGTCCTGACTCACGATAACCAGGGGACTGAGATGACCCCGGATACTACATGACACTTAGGCTGGTATAAAAGCAAACAAATGTACTGGCTCCTTAATCAGCAGTTCATGCCCATCTATGACTTACACAGACTGATCTGGCACCACACATTCATGTTCTTGTAAGGGTTTTCTATAGTTTTAAAGTCACTTAACCTCTTCCCATCTATAAAAAGAGAAGATGGTATTAATGCAACATTACAGAAGCACTGTCAGTTCTGACAATTTAAAAAGATACTTTCAGAATAGAGTTTATTCTGCTTTATGCAGGCAGAATTTTTTTAAAACAAAAATTTTTATCTAAAGACAGGAAGACCTGGTGCAAAAATGTAATTGCCAAATAGAGTGATTTAATAAATAGAAACCAGTATTTAAGAACTATTAAAAGACTGGGTTTACTACACAAGTACTTATATCATGCAGCACAAGATCAACTAGCTAAAGTTACCAACATTTACATACAGCTTTAAAAGTTAGAAATTCATTAAAAAAAAGAAATCTATCAGAAATGTTGAGCAAGCTCTCTAAGCATAATTTTATTTATCTATCTCCTTCTAGTGGCAGAGCATGAAATCAAATACTCAAAAATTTATTTTTAGTTTCAAAAACAAATATAGCAGACCACACTAAGCAAATGATACACACTATTATTTTAAAATATCTGATAATTAACACTTGTAATATACCAAACACCTGTTCCACAGCTATTATCCCCTGCAGTCAAAATTCAAGCCTTTGTAATTTGTCTGACTAAAAGATAACATGCTCCAGCATCTTTTTCTGTATTTAGAACTAATCCAAATTTATAGGCCACTCTTACCACAGCAGTATGCAATAGTCTAAAGCAAGCTGTAAGAAAAGAATAAATAAAACCATGAAACTTAACAGAAAATGACATGAAGCCTAATGCTGGCTTCCCAGAGAAAAATCCTGCTAAACTTACTTGATATGTTTAAGACCAGTGATTTTTCTAGGAAAAGAACCACAATAGGTTGCACATGATCTAACTGTTAAACACTTTGAACCTGTTAAACATTTGATATGGTGCAACGCTGTCATTTATGTTTATCTTATATAAGATGGAGGTTAAGCAGAGGCTGGAAGAAAATCTACAGTGAACTCCCTTGGGATCAGTTTTTATTGAACATTTTAATTAATGACTTGCCACAATAAGTACGAAGACACTTTTGGCACAAAATCAGAAACACAGCATACAGAAGGAAAACAAGGGAGAATTACATTTACAAAAAGACCAGTATGACACTGAGGATTACGGAGTGCAGCGTCCTGCATTTACCAATAAATAAGTTAACACATTATCTCAGAAATCCTTATCAGATGGCAACTGGACAGGAGTGTATTCAAACCTGACAAGATAACCAGAAAGCATCAGGCACGCGCCATGAAAACAAATATAATTTAACCATGCACGAAGCAAAACACTTCCCTTTCTTCCACTGAAGATGGGTCTGGCAAGATTCAATCTGCAATGGCGCATATAAGGCTAGCACACAAGAAGGGAGACGCGCGACACAGGTGCATAGACGGGCTCCTAGGATGAAGAGGGAAGTCAGAAGTCTGCCTAGCAGGGACGATGCGCCTGGTTCAACACGGAAAACGAGGTTCTTAGAACGGGGTGTGACTCTAGCAAAGTGCTGCGTCCGTGGAAAGCCCCGCAGGTGGTGGTGGAAAGCTCGGGGCCAGGCGACGCGGTGCGGCAGGAGGGCAGCGGGGTACAGCACGGCTCCCAGCCGGCGGGCAGGCCGAGGGACGCGAAGCCCGTTTGGAGCAGAGCCGCCCAATCCCCGCAAGCCGCTCCCTGACACGGCCGCCCGGCCCCAGCCTTCCCGCCGGGCAGCCCCCCTCCCCTCCGGGCTGCCGCTCCTCCTCTCCGTGCCGCCGCCCGCCCACCCTCCTGATCCCACAGCCCCGCGCCTCGCCCCGTCACGCACCCAGCCTCGGGCTCCTCCTTGGCCGAGCTCCACCTTCCTCCTCAGGGCCCTGCGCGCCCCCGCGCCCGCGGGGCCGCCGCCCCCACGCGGCCGCAGAGGCACGCGCCTCACTCCCGCCGCCTGCTGGGGGTGAGCCGGCGCGCGCGGCCGCTCGCGGGCAGGGGAGGGGCCGCCGCCGCCGCATCGCGAACGAGGCGGGACCGGTCGCCCTCTAAGATGGCGGCGCCGGGCTCACGTGGTGAGCGCTGAGGGGAGGCGGCGGGGGGGGGGGTGTGCTCGCTGGTGATATGGCGGCGGCGAGCGCGGAGTGGGGCGACGGGAAAGATGAAGCGGAGGAAGAGGAGGTGGAGGTTTGTGGATGCCGGCGGCGGGGCGCGCCCCCCTTTCCTTGGAGCAGCGGGCTGGCGGTGGGGTCGGGCACAGGGCGAGCGCGTTTCCCTGGGCCGCGGTCGTGTCACCGAGAGCTGTGTAGTTCTGGCCGTTCTACTTCAGGTTTTGTGGGAAGCGGCGTTGTCCGAAAACACTCTTCCAGTTTCAGTTGCTTCCTACCCCCATAGCATCCGAAAATACAAACTGCTAATCTTCCATTATTGTATATATTCGCGGATGCGTAGTAGGTGGTGATTAATGAAAACTCTTTGTTTTCTTGAATAAAAGACTTCTCGAGGTGGCTATTTTTTTGTTGTATTTTTGCATTATCTTCACCCAAAATTGTAAGGAATTGCAAACAGGAATTGACTTCAAAGCAATATATTATAAAGAGTTAAAAGCAACCGTTTCAAGCAAGTTGTTGCTTAATGCATCCTCTAGCTATGGTGTCTTAGGTCGATACTAAAGCATTGGTAAAATGTATTTTGGGATCTGTAACTGGTCTTACTGTTGTAATTTATAAATCATTTACCCATATCGATCCTCATTTTTCAAGGATGAAAAAAGAGCTCCCTTTCTAGCTATGAAGAAAAAGCCAAGAAATTCAGGTGTGAAACAGGTGTTTGATGGAGTAGTGAGGCATTGTGTTTTCTCTCAACAAAATGCAGAATAGATCAGGCTTAGGAGTTGTTTACTCTGAAGGTCTGGGTCTTTGTATACAGTTCTTGTTTTTTGTTGAGATTTTTTGGGGAGCTTTTTTTTTCTTGAGTTCAGATATGTCGATTACAGATGTACATTATAAACTTATCTTGTAGGAACAGCTGGTCATGGTGGAGCTATCGGGAATTATTGATTCAGACTTCTTAGAAAAATGTGAAAACAAATGCAAGATTTTGGTGAGTGATTACAGCATGATAGGAAAGGGATAAGTCGGTATGCAAGTGAACAAGGGACTGAGGCTGTTTCTAAATTCCTTGAAGTCAATAGCTTTTAGATCAAGTCTTTGATAGAGAATTACGTGCACTGTCTTGGCCATGTTTGGCTTGCATGTTGTGGGCTCTTTCTATTTCAGAAATGGCATATGGTCTTTGGATGTAGTATTACGTAAATAGAAGATAAGCTAGGACCATTATCCCCTCTCATTTCAAGCTCTAAGTTGTTTGTTCGTTTGTTTGTTTGTTTTTTTAATTATGTATTTTACACATTCAGAAAAAATTTTAAGCTCACTTCTTCAGATAACTTGAATGTAGCTGACAGGTAAAGCCAAAATCTTTCTGAATTGCACTATATTTACAATGGTTTTTTTTTTCAGATGCTGCCTGGCAAGTTCAGGTGTTGTAAATGTAAAGGATAACTGTGCATTTGGTAAACAGTTTTGGATGTTGTTTGCTTCCCTGTGACGTTATTGTAAGAATCTAGCTTGTCCTTTTCCTTTTGAGTTGTATAATCACTTTCTCTTTATGGGACAAATTTTATTTGCCCTTCAAATTCTATGTGCATTATGAGAGCTGTATAGACAGTACAAGTACTATTGATTTGCAGATACTTTCTGAAACTAGACTGAAAAGATGGAAGATAGCATCTCGAGTATACCGCTGATCAAATATATGTGAGGTGGTAAAGTCAGTTCTGAGACTTTCAAATGTAGAAATACAATCAAAATTCATAAATTATCTATCACTGGATGGATATGCTTTTTATAAGCAGATTTGCTTCTTGGATCTGACCTAAGTTGCTTGAAATGTCTTGCAGAGGTGATTCATTACTGGTGTCTGAATGGCTACATATTCTTCAGTAGCATTAATGGGATTCTTCTAAATTTTCTTCTTTGAGATTCTTTTGTAATGTTACAAGAAAAACTTTTAAGTATCTGTACTGTGTCGTACTCCCATTCAAATCTGCCCGTGCTCGCTTCACGGAGTGAGCATTCGTTGAGATTTTTCCTAACAGACAACTGTTGTTAAAACCCCAATAAAAGATTCTGCTTTGTGTTACTCTGTTTAGCAAGTTTTCTGCAATGCTGGTCACATGAGGGAAAGACCGTTTCCATTTTTGCATAGTCCAAAAAGGAATGAAAATCAGCCAAAGAAATAAAGTTTTGAATATTAAAAACCTTAATGCTGTTGTCTACTACTGATGTGTTCATTTTAAAATTTATTTCCTGTGGTTAAAAAAAGAAAAAGCTCTACAGGTTAGCTTAACACTATTGATGTTAACTTATGCAGCCGAAAGAGAATCTCAGACCTTAAATCTTGCTGATCTTAGATACTTCTGTTTTTTACAAATACAAGAGGAAAATTGCACAAATTCCTATTAACCTGTGTGATATTATGTGTTTTACGCAATTTGCTATATAGTGCCTCATCTCGAAAACTTTTAGCATGTGGTTGTCTTTGTGTCCTGAATAATGTTGATGTTCACAATGTTCTATTAAAAGACATTTTCCCTTAATTAGTGTATTCTGTTCAGGTGTTAAATTTCATCAAAACAAAGTTTATAGGTATATCTTACGTTAAGAGCGATGGGATCCTGGCCTGTGTGTTTGGAAAAGCCCTGCTATAGAGCAAGGGAATGAGCTGATAGAATTGCTGCCTTACTCTCCCACTCTTTGTTTAAAAAATTAAAATTGACTAACAGTGGTTTCCATCTCTTTCACAGTGTAGGCACGGTAATCGCAGAGGCTTTTACAGTCCTGCAGTTGCACTTCTGGTGCTGGTGTAATGCTTTATGCTGGACTTAATCTTATGTATTTTCCAAATATTTTTGAAAGTTACTGCACTTTACAGAACTTGTATTAATTGGAGCTTAGAAAATAACATTTTTTTCATGCAGATATGTATATTTTTATTTGTTAACTTAAAGCGGAGGTAAAATTAATTTCCTTGAGGAAATAACAGGACTTTAAATTTATTTACTGTAACCTAAATAGACCACTGGCTGCAGTTTCATCTAAATTTTTAAACCTTTTTAGCATACGAGAGCATTTTCTATACCAGATCAGCATTGTTGGTTTTGCTGTGATTACTAGAACAGATAATCTGGTATATTCTTTGTATTTAATATACTTAAAGTAACATGTATGATGGTAGACTGAAAATTTGTCATTACATTTTTTTTTTTTAACATTGCACTAATTCTACAGTAAGATTGGCTAAACCCTTTGTAACAATTGTTATCACTGCTTAACTTGGCCTGCTACAAAAACAGAAAGAAAACTCTTCCCCCTGCCCCCGATGTTTAATATTGCAGAAGACCTCAGGGTCAATTGTAATGACTAAAAAAACTACTTTTATTAAATTTTTTTGAAAAATAATAAATATTAAATAAATTACCTGTCTTGCCCTTCTTTCAGGAGTCTGCTAGCTTCTGTAAAATCATATCCTCTGCAGAACTCTTACTTTCATAAATACTGTTTTAAATATATATTTTTCTTGCTGTGAAGCTGACGGTTTGAGAAGGCTTTATAGTCTGGAATCCATTCCTTTTCTCTAATACCAAAAGAAATACTATTTCACATTTACCACGTTATGGAACTCACAGTATTCTACTGTTAATACTTTGTGGTTTTTGTTTTTTGTTTTTTTTTTTTTTAACTATTTATCTTTTCAAGAAATTGATGTAATCTCAATTCTGCTATATCTATGTTCTCTGGTCTTACAGCAAGAAATTTGCCTGGGCTGAGAGACCTGACATCTGTGCAATTTTGTCCTTGTTTTTGTAGGGAATAGAGACAGAGAGACCCATTTTACAAGTGGACAGATATGTATTTGCGGGAGAATATGAAGGTAGGTGTTCTGCCAGTTGACGGAGTTAACACAAAGGATACAGACACCAAGATAAAGATATAGGCTTATTTTACTTTAGTTTAAAGCAGCAGAAAGGATAAACAAGGTAATGTACCTAATCATTTAAGCAAGGTAATGCACCTAATAATTTCTACATACAGTTAATACAAAAATAAGCAATAGATCACAAACAAGGCAGTTGAGAAATAAGGCAATGCATCCAGTCATTACTATACCGGGCGAGTCATAGTGATTAAGAAAGATCCATCACCACTTGCCCTCCTACTTTACCATCCCCCCGACCCGTGCATCAGCTGGGGAGCCCCGTCCCAGCGAAGGGTCGCAGAGCCTTTCCCGGCAATTGGGAAGTCCCACGCAGGGCATCCACTCGTAGGTGAGGTCTGCGTCTGTGCTGTGAGAGGGCCCGGCTTTTATACAGTTTAACAAACAAGTCTGTAAATCTATATGATTGACAGAAGGCACAGAAGACATCTGATGGATTGGTTCACCTCATCATCCAGCTCTGGCATTCTTCCTCAGGCCTGGCCAAGGCTCAAGGAGGAACCAAGGGAGTTTGTGTGTTTTTGTAGTTGGCCTTGATAGCGTGTTTCTAAACTGAGCAGGGTCAATATATTCCCATATTTTATCTAAGCTACCTATCTCGCTAATAAGATACTCCATCCAAGTTACATATTTTGCTAATGATCAGATACTGATGTTATATAACGTTTGGTTGTGAGGTTCATCTAGAGGGCAACTTTGGCTCAAGGCCTGTTGTTCAGGCCTGAGTACTTCAGTAGGAAAAATTATTTGGATACAATCTCTCCTTTTTCATGTGACCCAAAGAACTTTCTTAACGTTAGTTAATTGCACTGTGAATGGAGAACGCAGTCCTGTGAGTTGTTGAAGATATGGGTGGTGTTTGTACAACACCATATAGAGCAGCACCAGTCTGAGTTCACTGTTAAATTAGCCATACATCCATGTTACTTATCGGAAGGCATGTCTGGAACCTGATTCTGAGGTGCACCAGGGGGTATTTCTGCAGGGAAAAATGTGGGACATAAAATACCTTAAAGTGCTTGTTGTCTCCGGTATAAGCAGGACTGGTGTGCTGTGCCACCTGTAGTTCTGCCATTTGCCTTACAGTAACAACTCTGGTCTGGAAGGAAATGATCTGGAATCCTCCCTTGTAGTGACTGTTGATGACTGTGATACTCCTGTCTGTTACTGAGTTGGCAGCGTGGTTACCAGTGCTGGGCCTTTGCGAGGGGCTGGCAGTCAGGACATTCCCAAAGCTGTGCCAGTGGGGCCAGTATCTACAGCTGGTAGAAAACAGCCTCTAAGACTTTCTCACTTTGTGTTCCGTAGATACCTTGGGAACCTGTGTGGTTTTTGAAGAAAACACAGAGCAAGGTAATTGTTGTGATTTGATATCCTGTTTGTGGTAGCCTGGGAGGTTAAAAATGTTTATCTTGCTTAACTTGATGGTGGAATTCACTATAATTATGGGGGTTTGGGTACTTTTTTTTATCCTCTCTTCATAGCAGATGCAGAAGGCAACCAAAAAGTACAGCTGAAGTACAAGTGCCACACAATGAAGAAGCTGAACATGACACGGACACTTTTGACAGAAAAGAAAGAAGGAGAAGAGAATGTTGGTTAGTGTTTCTGCTTTTATGTATAGTGACATTGGTGGATTATACTTAGAAGTGTCAGCCTTAACGAAGTGTTTGTTTCAAGAGCATGCAGAAAGTTAGAGGAACTTTCTTCTTTAGGCAACAAATACCCATGCTTAAATGCAAAATTACAAAGCACAGAGGAAAAAACCAAACCAAACCAAACCAAACCAAAACAACCTGATATTCCTTCTGAACAGTGCTGCCTCTACAAGTGGCTAGTAGGAGATTCCTATAGAACAGTGTAAGAGCAGGGCAAACATATGCTGATGTTCTCTGGTGTGTTTTTCTGTCATCTAAAGGTTTTGGCACAAGTTCTGAAATCAGAGGTGCTGTTTAGTTCTTCACTGGATTATATTTTTTTGTTATTTAATTTTTTTTTACTTCCATCAATTTTTTTGATGACTTTTTGAGTCTCTCGATTGTTGGAAGTCTACAATATTACTATCCTTAGTAAGAAGCTTGATGTTGTATGTACTATAACTGAATTTACTGTAAATGAATCTAACTTACTTGCAAAGATGCACCTAGCAGACCATTCATGTTGATTTTCATTCCGTAGGCAGAGCTCAATGCTTGTATATTTGCTTTATTTCAGTGCTGTTTTCTCATAAAGAAGTCAGTTATTTTACGTAGTTAAATACTGAGTATCCTACTATATATATTAGTATTCATTAGCAGTATGCTATTGCTTTTGGTTGCTTTTTTTTTCATTCAAGTCAGTGTTACTGCTTCATATATTAAGAATATGTAGCCATTTTATATTAAATATGGGCAGCCAACTGGGCATTGGTCGTAGGAGGTATAACATGAAATGTCATCTAGAATCTCATCAACCATAAGCATTTTTATCAACACCATGTACCATTTCTCCGCTCCATATAATTAAGTAGGTAATATTAAACAGAAACTATTATTTTTTAAAGTACAATAGACTAGAAAATATGTTTCTTAATACAAAGGCCTATTTTGTTCTGGAGAAGCAATAATGATGATACCTGCTGAAAAACAACTTGTTTCTGTACACTGACAGAAGTTTAATGTTGTGCATACAAAGTAACTGCAATGTTTTTTGAATTGGCAACATGTACTGCCTAAAAGTCTTTGGAATCAGTTCAATATGTGTTGTGAGAGCTTGATATATTCAACTTTAGGAGACAACACAAATTCTTAGACTATCTCTGATGTAATTTCCTATCATACTGCCAGATGTTCTAAGATTTAGGTGAACAAACATTCTTTTTATTGCATTTGTAGAATATTTTATTTGCATTTTTAATTATATTTAAGTTATTTTAAGAGTCTAAGGGTGGTGTCTGACACCTAAATACAGCCAGAACTGCCATACTGGATTGGACCAGAGGTGTTTTAGTCCTGTATTGTATTTCTGAATATGGACAGTAATAAATGGGTACGTGGAAAGTACTGGTAGGAGGAGACATATGCATGAATAATCCTTCCTTTAAGCTATCCTTCTTGTGTTCAGCAGTTTGTGAATATCCTGACAAGAGTTTTCATCTGGACTACTATGTCTATAGTCCGTAAAGACTCTGTCATCTTCACTTGTTTTTTGAACCTGTCTATACTTTTGACTTCTACCACTTCTTATGGAAGTTAGTTTTCAAATCACATTTATGTTGTATGGAAAAAGTACAACTTTATTGTGGGTTTTGATGATTGTTTGCTTTTGTGGTTGTTACAAATGTACGATTTGGCACTTTTAATGAGTGCAAGGTACTTATTTTGTTACCAGAATTAGGAGATGAGTCAATACCTACTTGTTTTCCCTGTACAGCCTTATAAACATCTGCCCCCTCTGAGCTGTTTCCTCCAAGTAGAATTCTAGTCTCTGTCTTTTTTTTGTTGCCTTTTTGGTGGTTTTTGTTGTGTTGGTTTTTTTAAAGTCTCTTACCACGTAGAGCTAACTCTTACTAATTCTTGTTTCTCTTTTCTAGTTTTACAGTATCAGTTGAACAGGACACAGTATTTATGCATGGACGTAACATAGTTTTGTATCTTGACATTCCTGTTTTTCATTCCTAACAATTTTATCTCCCTTGTGACTGCTCTTCAGAGACCAAACTGCTGACATCAATGAACCATGCACAATGCCTCCAGTATCTGGATAAAAACCTGTAGCTATATGTCTTAGATAAATTGGTTTAGCCTATGCATGTTGTTGTTAATTTATCAAGTTAAGTTTCTCTGAATTCTAAGCCAGTCTTTGTTTATCAGATGCCCTTCTGTAAGTCATAGGCTTATTTTTCAAGGAAAATGAGTGGCTTAAGCCCCATGGTGAGACTCACCACAGAAATTAGTGTTGTTCCAAATTCTCAAAAAATGTCTATCTATCTTTCTCAGCGATTCTTTTACTTAAATGTTGGTCAGGCTCAGCCTTAATAACAGTTAACTTAAACTAAGAAAAAAGTGCTGTTAACTCTTACCTGCTTTTGTCACTAGTATCAATTTTCCTTCTTTGCATCAGGTGGAGTGGAGTGGTTGCAGATCAAAGACAGAGATTTTTCCTACAGCAGGCCTAATACGATTTGCAGCTTTCTGCGTGAAAAAGAAGATTCTGAGGAGTCAGCTCAGGCCCAAGACAAATTGACTGAAGAGTCGGAGGGAGAGGTGAGTGGCGAGGGAAATTCTGACATGAATTGTGATCTGGAGAAGCCTCACAGCTTGGAAATAGATGCCTCTATCCCTCTGCCTGACAGCCCTGCTTCTGGGGCAGAGGATTCTCCTTCTGAAAGTGTTGCCTTAGACGACGCCCCTCCATGATATCAGCTCTGATCTTTTCAGGATTTCTTCATGGAGTTAATGGGCCAACTTTTAAATGCCAACTTCTATAGGCCATGACATGGTTTCCAATTTATCTGAGCAATTCATAGTGGAAAAAATGGACATGGTGTTCTTGTGCATTGCTTTATGTTTGCATTATAGTGGGGAGGGCTTAAGTGTTTTTTAAAAATGTTAACTGGAAATGTGCGTGTATCTACCTCAAAAAAAGAAGAGGAAATGATTACATAATGAAAAACATCCCAACCTTTGAAAAATGTTGATGTATTATACAGTCTGAGACATTTTATAAAAGGAAAAAAGATATTGTTTAAAATAAAGCCCTGAATTTTTCAAGTATAGCTTCACTTTGTGTGTCATATTGAGCCGCATACTATATCCATTCTTGTACTGCAGTTACTGTAAGAAAAATTTCAAGTAAGTGTGGCTTTTACTACTTGCTTGATTACTCATTAAATTGCTTAGTTTGGATTTTTCTCTAGCATCGTTTGTCCCCATAATGGATCTTAGAAATCCTTCATTTGGGAAGGGGCTTGAGGAGGTCTCTTGTCCAGCTTCCTACTTAAAATAGTCTCAACACTGAATTTGAGCCACGTTGTTCAGGGCTTTGTCCAGTCAAGTCTTGAAAACGCCTGTGGACTAGTCAGCAACTGAAATCTAGGTCTTGATGAGTCATCTGTCACTCTTCCCCCATTTTCTATATAATATAATGTGTGTTATCCAAATGAAGTCTCTTTTATTTCCCCTACCCCCCAGTAACTTCTTGGCTCTAATCTTCTCTGGCACTTCTCGGAAGGTTTTTATGCCTAAGAACCTGTACCCATGCATCAGTGGTTCGCAGACTCATCCATGTGGCTGTATTGTGGCCTCTAGTTAGTCTGTGGGTTGACACTACATACTGCTACATCATTTATATTGTCACATAGTATTTCACATAAAAGTTGAGTATGTGGTGCATACATAAACCATATTCTTCCTAACCTTTCTTCCCTCCTACCTTTTTCTGCCTCCTTCAAAATAGTTTAACTGCAGCGGTGCTGTGAGGATGAGAAAACCTAATTAATTCCAGCATAATTATGTAAAACTTAATGATCAGAGTAGTTCACCCCCAGCATTATTCACAGCACAGAATCAGTAAAGGTAAGTCATCAAAACAGTGCAGCGGTTTCAAACCATCAATCCTGCTATTCTGTTTTGTTAACCAACTGCTAAATCTGTCACTATGTAAGTGTAGATTTTTTTTTTTTTTATTATGTGCCAGGAGTATTCTAGCAAATTGGTTTCTGACCTTTTCCAGCCATTTGTTTCAGTAGTATACTGAAGCTGTTTCTTTGTTCTAGTTTATCTGGGAAGCAATTGTTTGTTTAGTGTTTTGGGTTTTTTTAACATTTTATATCATAAACTGAGTACCTTCATAATAATGGTTTTTAGATTTCAGATGTTATTTATAATTCTCAAACTTTTGTTTCTACTATTACTAGTCCTAACTTCTGCAACCACACTCACTCTACCCATCTTTTCCCCCATCCTCCCAGAAAGCAGGTGCTATGAGTCCACTGCTGCAGACAGCAAATTCTTCAGCTTTACTGATTTTGCCCCCAAAAGCCCAACAAGTTGGTTATTTCAAGTACAGTTCAAAATAGGTGGGTGGGGGTGTGTAGAGTGGAAAAAAAAAAAAAAAAAAGGGGTATTGGGTAAGTATGGTAGCCAGACATAGGATTACTGCTGTAATTGCCCTTGCCTGGTTATTCTACATTGTTTGTGTCCCTGTGCCTGGGCACGAGACCATCCCAATGGTTCCTTGCCTCATCTGGTATTGAGCACTTTTATTTACACATTGTGACAGTTACAAGCATGTGCTTAAAAAGAGATTTAAAAAAGAATTACTTTGGAGAAGATTCAGCAACACCCAACTTGGAGAAGCAGAGTGCAGGATGTGAAATGTTCAGCTCACAGGAAAGCTGGGAGGTGGGTATATTCTGAACTAGTTGTAGGTAGGCAGGAGATTTTTTTGCATTAGGTCTTTGGATTTTCCTGAGTGTCTTGGATTTCTTCTGCCTTTAGAACTTGAGGAGCAAATGCATCAACCTTAAATTTGAACAGCTCTGACCAGCTGCTTGAAGGCCTGCAGGCTCTGGAATAACCAGAAACTTTTTAAGATTAAGAGTAGCTACTGGTTTTAAAGTGGTGCCACAACATTAGGGATTTAAGGCAGAAATAAACCTTTTGGCATCTGCTTTCTGTGATGTGCAAGGTCACGTTCACCACTCACTGGTTACACTGGTCTTTCCAAATCGGTAAATTTGGGGGGAAACGGCTTGAAAGGGCCTGCTTTACCTGTACAACCTCACCGGGGCTGCGAGGAGGGTAAGGAGAAAGGTCAGAAACAAACTGACCGGCCGCTGCCGCGGTTAATTTGTGCGTTAGTTAACTCGCACCCTGCGCTGAGCGGGGCCTCGCCGCCTCAGTGGGGGAAACCTCCCGGGCGCGGGGGGGCGGGGCTTGATCCGCGCCTGCGCACTGCGCGAAGCCGAGCGCTTTCTGGCGCTCGCCGGATGTAGTGTACCGGATGTAGTGTATCGGATGTAATGTGCCGGATGGTGTTGCCCGGCGGCGCGCGCACGTGAGGGCGGCTCGGCAGCGATGGACGCGCTGGACCGGGTGGTGTGAGTGTCGCGGGGGGGGGGGGGGGGCGACACGGGATCAGTCGTCCCCTCCCGGCCTGCGGCGGGCTCCGGCTCCGAGACCGCGGGGTGGCCGGTACCGGGCGCGGCTTTGCCCGGGCTCTGGGGGCCGCGGGGCGACTGTGTGTGGGGCCCGGGGCGGGGCCGGCAGAGAGAAAAGGCCCGTGGAAAACGCGCGGGACAGAGGAGAGCCGGTCGCTGCCGTGATTTTTCCTGGTGGCGAGGCAGCACAGCCCTCGCTCAGTTGGTCACATAAAGGAACCGCGGTGACCACCAGGTTTTGAATTTATATATTTCCGTACGCTTGAAAAAAAAAACTGTCTTCATCTATAGTTAGGAGTACCCGCTTGGTGTTTTGTTTGTTTGTTTCCTAAAATAAATATCATGCCTTACAGAGAAGATGTGAAAAGCTTTACATTCATTTCGTGGAGAAGCGTAGTTTTTAAGCCACGTAGTTATTCATTTATATAATCTCCGTGCCCCTACTAAGGCTGGGGCATTTCACCTACATAATGCGCAGTTCTGCTCTCTGGTTCCTGCTAACAGGTATCCTCTGCTAGAGCTTTCCTTTTGGATGCCATTGGTGGTCTTTGAGGAACTTTGTTTTCTTCCCTTACGCGAGTCTGACTTGGGGAGGGAGCTGGTGTGAGGGGAAGCTTTCAGCCTATCAGTAGTCTGTATAGTTTATGCTCTAAATTAGCAGAAACTGAAAAACCCAAGAGTGTAAAATCACCTTCGCTACTTTGGGGAGGCAGAGAAGAGGAGGAGTGGCAGTAAAGCACATTCATCTGAAGCTGGGCTTTTAGCACTGATTGTAAATCTGCAGGTCAGAATTAGTTTGAGTCACTGAAACAAGTTACTTGAACAGAGTTTGTTCCAATTCTTGTTTTGTTCTGCTGTTTTCTGCAGTGTCAAGTGTTGTTACTAAGTTTTTAACTGTTAATTTATTGTTACAGAAAGCCTAAAACTAAGAGAGCAAAAAGATTTCTTGAGAAGAGAGAACCCAAACTTAAAGAAAATACAAAGAATGCTATGCTTATAAAAGGAGGAAATGCAAACTTAACAGTGACTGAAGTGCTTAAAGACATTGTAAGTTATTGGACATAGTATGGGACCTTCCTTTCTCTTTTTCTTACAATTTGCATGTTCTCTGCTGCAAGATCAGTATTTTCATACTCTGTGTTCCCTAAATCTCAGATTGACTAGTACTCTTAAGGTGTCATTACTTACCCCTCAATGGAGATTATTTTCTTCAAGTTTCTTCTTTGACAGAAGTTTTGAGCTTATTTTCTTTGTTATTTTTTTTTGCCATTATTGTCCAGTATATAAAGTGAAGTGTTGCAAGTCCATTTGAAAACACGAGGATTAGATACAGAATTGGGACTGGATCACTCAGCTGAAGTCATACTCCAGAATCGCAAACTGCTTGTGTGCCTTGTTATGGAGCTTTCAACCTCTCCAAAAACTTAAATTTACCAATCCTATCTCCTAACTCCATAACTGAAAGTATTATAGCCGTTCCTACGCTCTTTTCTCTCCTTGGTTTGTTGTTTTCTTACCATCTTATGTCAATGATGATCATGTTGCTGTTCACTCCCTGTTTTTCCTCATGCCCCTAGAAGCAGAGAGCTTCCATTAGACGAATTGCAATTAGCAATTAATTGGGAACCAAGATTCCTAGCAACTTGAAGGGTACTATTATGAGAGGTCTTTTGAGGTGCTGCCTTCTAGACTGATTTGCACAATTACTCTATTTCATGTAATCATGTAAGCTGTAGGGTTTTAGGAAAAAATAGTGCTGTTCACTTAAATATATTAGAACACATCTGTAACTTTGTCTTTTGCAGTATGCTGTGAAGAAGCCTTTTGCTGTACTGTATAAAAAGTAAGTGCTCTCGCTTTGACATCTTTGAGTCTTCTGATAAGACAGGTTTTGGTAATTTCAAAATGTGAATAGAGATGCATGGGGGCTTGGACAATGGAAAATGTTACAGAAGACAACTGAGATTCATCATAAATTTCAGTAGGCTGGAAACAAGGTGTACGTGATCATTATTGGTGCTGAGCCCAGTTCGGTGCCAAGTGTTACAGAGCAAATTTGAATGGTTGATTTCTCTGTCTGATCTGTGCAAACAGCTAGTGAAGTTCTGTGTCAGGTGGGTAGGCTGGAGTTATTGTATCCAAATTCTTACAAATTTGAGTTACAGATTATAGTGATAAATCTTGTTCAGAATGGGAACCCAGTGCCTATATGGATGTAGTGCAGAGACATTAATTGCAATAGCGAAATTTCATGTTGGATGAACAGGCAAAGGCAGTTGTTTGCCAGGTGTCAGCGGTGGTGGCGGTCTGGAAGTCAGGACCCAGGAGACAGGAAACGTGGAGGAAAGTACTTAAAATGATAACAGCAGCACTAAGACGCTCCTGGCAGTAGTAATACGGCTTATGGTTTGAACTAAAACTGAACCTCTACTGTTGGAGTTTCCAGTAAAATGGAGAGTTCTGATGTTATCGGAGAATTGGAAGTGCTTATTTGGGCCTATTCATTTTTTTTATCTTTTTTTTTTTTCCCCCCCTCAGGAAAAATATTACCAGGCCTTTTGAGGATCAAACATCATTGGTAAGTATAAACCACATCTTCTCTTATGACATTTTATAGCCTTAAAGTCATGAAGAACTCTATTGGGAGATAATTTCGTATACTCTATGAGGTACTGTATAAGAAAGTTTATAGGGAGTTCAGATAAGTTGAAGGTAGGGCTATGTCTAGATTTATGGTGTCAGTAGGCATATTTTTCCTCTCACTGCATGACAGAGTCATCATGTGAGGACTTTGTCTTTACTATAAACACGTTTCTGTAACCATTGTTACAAACTCCTAGATTTACCTGTCAGTTATAAGTAACAGTCCTTGATATAAAAGGAAGAAGGCGGCATTTTATTTTGTTTTTCTAAAAGCCAGTCCTCTAAAGTGATGTCGCTTATGAACAAATTGTTTCAATTTGGTGAATTCATAGGTTAGAGGGGTTAAATGGAGGGTGTCGTAGCTTTCTGTGACTTCCTTAAGTTTGAATAGAGGTAGAAGAGTCTGACAAAGTACCACATGCAAACACATGCATCAGCTGTGCAAGTGTGAGGTGGTTGCTGAGAGTTCTGTTCCAGCGTTCAGTCAAGAACTGTCAGAAGAATGCACAATTTCAGTTAAATATATGTATTTGGCCTGCAAAGAGGTTGCAAAAGTTGCTCTTCAGAGGCTTGGAGGGTGTTTTGAAAGGCGGTGTATGTTGGAAATACGTTTGGTGATATGTCCCTGTCTGGATTTGAAGTTTTA